AGGATCCCCCTAGAAGCCGCAAAAAAGAGGCGAAGGAGCACCCGAACGGCGCGGGTAAAAGTTAGCACTTGTTGGTCTCGATCCAACGACCTTTGGGTTATGAGCCCAACACGCTTCCTCTGCGCCAAAGTGCTAGCTCAATTTCACACATCCCCAACGACACACAAAAACGCGCCCCAGCAAACCACACACAAACCAACGCAAACGCCCGCGCGCGAGCTCTCCAGACCGACAATTGATGCCCCCAACGAGCTTATCGTTCACGAGATATCTCCCACCAAACCTAGGTACACGTACCCGCGGCACAACAAACTGCCACTGCGCACAGGCGCCTCGCCGCCGCGCGACCAAACCAGGGCCCATCACACACCGCCAGGCGCGACAGCGCGTCGTGGACACGCCCCTACTGTTGCCTGGTGCCGCGCCGCCGGGTTTACCAACCCACCGCTTGAACCGTGGCGGGACTCGATCCCGCCGTCGTTGTGCGGCCTGCCAGGCACGAGGGGCGAAGGCGGGGTCAGTGCAGGCAGCGTGGAGGGGCAGCAGGACAGGCGGAAGCTGCTAGAAGCCGCAAAAAAGAGGCGAAGGAGCACCCGAACGGCGCGGGTAAAAGTTAGCACTTGTTGGTCTCGATCCAACGACCTTTGGGTTATGAGCCCAACACGCTTCCTCTGCGCCAAAGTGCTAGCTCAATTTCACACATCCCCAACGACACACAAAAACGCGCCCCAGCAAACCACACACAAACCAACGCAAACGCCCGCGCGCGAGCTCTCCAGACCGACAATTGATGCCCCCAACGAGCTTATCGTTCACGAGATATCTCCCACCAAACCTAGGTACACGTACCCGCGGCACAACAAACTGCCACTGCGCACAGGCGCCTCGCCGCCGCGCGACCAAACCAGGGCCCATCACACACCGCCAGGCGCGACAGCGCGTCGTGGACACGCCCCTACTGTTGCCTGGCGCCGCGCCGCCGGGTTTACCAACCCACCGCTTGAACCGTGGCGGGACTCGATCCCGCCGTCGTTGTGCGGCCTGCCAGGCACGAGGGGCGAAGGCGGGGTCAGTGCAGGCAGCGTGGAGGGGCAGCAGGACAGGCGGAAGCTGCTAGAAGCCGCAAAAAAGAGGCGAAGGAGCACCCGAACGGCGCGGGTAAAAGTTAGCACTTGTTGGTCTCGATCCAACGACCTTTGGGTTATGAGCCCAACACGCTTCCTCTGCGCCAAAGTGCTAGCTCAATTTCACACATCCCCAACGACACACAAAAACGCGCCCCAGCAAACCACACACAAACCAACGCAAACGCCCGCGCGCGAGCTCTCCAGACCGACAATTGATGCCCCCAACGAGCTTATCGTTCACGAGATATCTCCCACCAAACCTAGGTACACGTACCCGCGGCACAACAAACTGCCACTGCGCACAGGCGCCTCGCCGCCGCGCGACCAAACCAGGGCCCATCACACACCGCCAGGCGCGACAGCGCGTCGTGGACACGCCCCTACTGTTGCCTGGTGCCGCGCCGCCGGGTTTACCAACCCACCGCTTGAACCGTGGCGGGACTCGATCCCGCCGTCGTTGTGCGGCCTTCCAGGCACGAGGGGCGAAGGCGGGGTCAGTGCAGGCAGCGTGGAGGGGCAGCAGGACAGGCGGAAGCCGCTAGAAGCCGCAAAAAAGAGGCGAAGGAGCACCCGAACGGCGCGGGTAAAAGTTAGCACTTGTTGGTCTCGATCCAACGACCTTTGGGTTATGAGCCCAACACGCTTCCTCTGCGCCAAAGTGCTAGCTCAATTTCACACATCCCCAACGACACACAAAAACGCGCCCCAGCAAACCACACACAAACCAACGCAAACGCCCGCGCGCGAGCTCTCCAGACCGACAATTGATGCCCCCAACGAGCTTATCGTTCACGAGATATCTCCCACCAAACCTAGGTACACGTACCCGCGGCACAACAAACTGCCACTGCGCACAGGCGCCTCGCCGCCGCGCGACCAAACCAGGGCCCATCACACACCGCCAGGCGCGACAGCGCGTCGTGGACACGCCCCTACTGTTGCCTGGTGCCGCGCCGCCGGGTTTACCAACCCACCGCTTGAACCGTGGCGGGACTCGATCCCGCCGTCGTTGTGCGGCCTGCCAGGCACGAGGGGCGAAGGCGGGGTCAGTGCAGGCAGCGTGGAGGGGCAGCAGGACAGGCGGAAGCTGCTAGAAGCCGCAAAAAAGAGGCGAAGGAGCACCCGAACGGCGCGGGTAAAAGTTAGCACTTGTTGGTCTCGATCCAACGACCTTTGGGTTATGAGCCCAACACGCTTCCTCTGCGCCAAAGTGCTAGCTCAATTTCACTCATCCCCAACGACACACAAAAACGCGCCCCAGCAAACCACACACAAACCAACGCAAACGCCCGCGCGCGAGCTCTCCAGACCGACAATTGATGCCCCCAACGAGCTTATCGTTCACGAGATATCTCCCACCAAACCTAGGTACACGTACCCGCGGCACAACAAACTGCCACTGCGCACAGGCGCCTCGCCGCCGCGCGACCAAACCAGGGCCCATCACACACCGCCAGGCGCGACAGCGCGTCGTGGACACGCCCCTACTGTTGCCTGGTGCCGCGCCGCCGGGTTTACCAACCCACCGCTTGAACCGTGGCGGGACTCGATCCCGCCGTCGTTGTGCGGCCTGCCAGGCACGAGGGGCGAAGGCGGGGTCAGTGCAGGCAGCGTGGAGGGGCAGCAGGACAGGCGGAAGCTGCTAGAAGCCGCAACAAAGAGGCGAGGGAGCACCCGAACGGCGCGGGTAAAAGTTAGCACTTGTTGGTCTCGATCCAACGACCTTTGGGTTATGAGCCCAACACGCTTCCTCTGCGCCAAAGTGCTAGCTCAATTTCACACATCCCCAACGACACACAAAAACGCGCCCCAGCAAACCACACACAAACCAACGCAAACGCCCGCGCGCGAGCTCTCCAGACCGACAATTGATGCCCCCAACGAGCTTATCGTTCACGAGATATCTCCCACCAAACCTAGGTACACGTACCCGCGGCACAACAAACTGCCACTGCGCACAGGCGCCTCGCCGCCGCGCGACCAAACCAGGGCCCATCACACACCGCCAGGCGCGACAGCGCGTCGTGGACACGCCCCTACTGTTGCCTGGTGCCGCGCCGCCGGGTTTACCAACCCACCGCTTGAACCGTGGCGGGACTCGATCCCGCCGTCGTTGTGCGGCCTGCCAGGCACGAGGGGCGAAGGCGGGGTCAGTGCAGGCAGCGTGGAGGGGCAGCAGGACAGGCGGAAGCTGCTAGAAGCCGCAAAAAAGAGGCGAAGGAGCACCCGAACGGCGCGGGTAAAAGTTAGCACTTGTTGGTCTCGATCCAACGACCTTTGGGTTATGAGCCCAACACGCTTCCTCTGCGCCAAAGTGCTAGCTCAATTTCACACATCCCCAACGACACACAAAAACGCGCCCCAGCAAACCACACACAAACCAACGCAAACGCCCGCGCGCGAGCTCTCCAGACCGACAATTGATGCCCCCAACGAGCTTATCGTTCACGAGATATCTCCCACCAAACCTAGGTACACGTACCCGCGGCACAACAAACTGCCACTGCGCACAGGCGCCTCGCCGCCGCGCGACCAAACCAGGGCCCATCACACACCGCCAGGCGCGACAGCGCGTCGTGGACACGCCCCTACTGTTGCCTGGTGCCGCGCCGCCGGGTTTACCAACCCACCGCTTGAACCGTGGCGGGACTCGATCCCGCCGTCGTTGTGCGGCCTGCCAGGCACGAGGGGCGAAGGCGGGGTCAGTGCAGGCAGCGTGGAGGGGCAGCAGGACAGGCGGAAGCTGCTAGAAGCCGCAAAAAAGAGGCGAAGGAGCACCCGAACGGCGCGGGTAAAAGTTAGCACTTGTTGGTCTCGATCCAACGACCTTTGGGTTATGAGCCCAACACGCTTCCTCTGCGCCAAAGTGCTAGCTCAATTTCACACATCCCCAACGACACACAAAAACGCGCCCCAGCAAACCACACACAAACCAACGCAAACGCCCGCGCGCGAGCTCTCCAGACCGACAATTGATGCCCCCAACGAGCTTATCGTTCACGAGATATCTCCCACCAAACCTAGGTACACGTACCCGCGGCACAACAAACTGCCACTGCGCACAGGCGCCTCGCCGCCGCGCGACCAAACCAGGGCCCATCACACACCGCCAGGCGCGACAGCGCGTCGTGGACACGCCCCTACTGTTGCCTGGTGCCGCGCCGCCGGGTTTACCAACCCACCGCTTGAACCGTGGCGGGACTCGATCCCGCCGTCGTTGTGCGGCCTGCCAGGCACGAGGGGCGAAGGCGGGGTCAGTGCAGGCAGCGTGGAGGGGCAGCAGGACAGGCGGAAGCCGCTAGAAGCCGCAAAAAAGAGGCGAAGGAGCACCCGAACGGCGCGGGTAAAAGTTAGCACTTGTTGGTCTCGATCCAACGACCTTTGGGTTATGAGCCCAACACGCTTCCTCTGCGCCAAAGTGCTAGCTCAATTTCACACATCCCCAACGACACACAAAAACGCGCCCCAGCAAACCACACACAAACCAACGCAAACGCCCGCGCGCGAGCTCTCCAGACCGACAATTGATGCCCCCAACGAGCTTATCGTTCACGAGATATCTCCCACCAAACCTAGGTACACGTACCCGCGGCACAACAAACTGCCACTGCGCACAGGCGCCTCGCCGCCGCGCGACCAAACCAGGGCCCATCACACACCGCCAGGCGCGACAGCGCGTCGTGGACACGCCCCTACTGTTGCCTGGTGCCGCGCCGCCGGGTTTACCAACCCACCGCTTGAACCGTGGCGGGACTCGATCCCGCCGTCGTTGTGCGGCCTGCCAGGCACGAGGGGCGAAGGCGGGGTCAGTGCAGGCAGCGTGGAGGGGCAGCAGGACAGGCGGAAGCCGCTAGAAGCCGCAACAAAGAGGCGAAGGAGCACCCGAACGGCGCGGGTAAAAGTTAGCACTTGTTGGTCTCGATCCAACGACCTTTGGGTTATGAGCCCAACACGCTTCCTCTGCGCCAAAGTGCTAGCTCAATTTCACACATCCCCAACGACACACAAAAACGCGCCCCAGCAAACCACACACAAACCAACGCAAACGCCCGCGCGCGAGCTCTCCAGACCGACAATTGATGCCCCCAACGAGCTTATCGTTCACGAGATATCTCCCACCAAACCTAGGTACACGTACCCGCGGCACAACAAACTGCCACTGCGCACAGGCGCCTCGCCGCCGCGCGACCAAACCAGGGCCCATCACACACCGCCAGGCGCGACAGCGCGTCGTGGACACGCCCCTACTGTTGCCTGGTGCCGCGCCGCCGGGTTTACCAACCCACCGCTTGAACCGTGGCGGGACTCGATCCCGCCGTCGTTGTGCGGCCTGCCAGGCACGAGGGGCGAAGGCGGGGTCAGTGCAGGCAGCGTGGAGGGGCAGCAGGACAGGCGGAAGCTGCTAGAAGCCGCAACAAAGAGGCGAAGGAGCACCCGAACGGCGCGGGTAAAAGTTAGCACTTGTTGGTCTCGATCCAACGACCTTTGGGTTATGAGCCCAACACGCTTCCTCTGCGCCAAAGTGCTAGCTCAATTTCACACATCCCCAACGACACACAAAAACGCACCCCAGCAAACCACACACAAACCAACGCAAACGCCCGCGCGCGAGCTCTCCAGAGGGGATCCT